CCCTCCCCCTCCCCCTCCCCCTCCCCCTCCCCCTCCCCCTCCCCCTCCCCCTCCCCCTCCCCCTCCCCCTCCCCCTCCCCCTCCCCCTCCCCCTCCCCCTCCCCCTCCCCCTCCCCCTCCCCCTCCCCCTCCCCCTCCCCCTCCCCCTCCCCCTCCCCCTCCCCCTCCCCCTCCCCCTCCCCCTCCCCCTCCCCCTCCCCCTCCCCCTCCCCCTCCCCCTCCCCCTCCCCCTCCCCCTCCCCCTAGACGGCGATGGCGATGACCTTTTCCGTCGCCGCGGCTGCTACTAGATGACTAGAAGTGAAGGGATGAGAAAAGAGAAAGAAAGAGAGGGAAGAAGAGACAAAGAGAGAGAGAGAAAAAAAAGAGGGAGAAAAGAACAAAAAAAAAAAAAATGCACTTTGAACATATATGATCACTGAGTGAGAGCCACTGCAGGCACCGCCAAGAATGTTTAATCAAAATCAAATATTTTCTTCACGTCCACTTACATAGTCTTGTCACCACACGGCAGCATTTTACTATTAGGCAAATGCAATCGACTAAGAAAACAGAGAAGGAAATTAGTATATATACTCAGGTGAGACTTAACACAGGTGCACTGGTTTTTAATGAGATGTATTTTGATTTGCTTACCTAGAAAAGTGCTGTGCTTAGGTGATCAATGAAAACGGCAAATAACTAAAATTCTGGAGAGAAAGTAAAGATTGTTTTTTTTAATCGTACCCTTCAAGTGACAAGTTATAATTACCGTGTCGGTAATGAACGTTGAAACTGACTTTAATTGAGGGGGGAAATAGTTTGAATATGAAGTCAAGCGTTATTTATACAGCTGTTCTATTTTTTCGGGGATTCATTAAAAGGGAAAACAACTATAAACTGTTGTTTTAGAGTGCGAGGGTCATCATACTTAAATAACGATGACCTCTTTGAACCAGTTCCCTCCCCCCTTCCCCCTTTTCCCCCTTCCCGTTCTGAGAGCACGATTGTACTGAAATCAAGTTTATGTAAGATTTATCATATAAATTTCTAAGCCTAAGCCCGAGATTTCTGCAAATGTATTAGCATTTTTTGCCAAAATGTAACTGTAGTAGTAATACCCACCGACGCTTGTGATAGTGAAACATGGCTGTGTTGTCCGCAGACTTTTGCTTCTGCAGTTCCCGACTCGCTGACATCCCGTTGCTGTAGGTCCTGAGATGAGGTGTAGCTCCCTAGCCTTACTGCTGACATCATGTATAGTTGTGCTCTCAGTCATCAGGGAAAGAAAGAAAGAAAAAAGAGAAAAAGTCAAGGAAAAAATAGAAAAAAAGACAGAAAAAAAAGAAAGAAAAAAAAAACACGTGTGAAACTTTTATCAGTGTGTTATATACACTACACAATTTTTTTTTTATTTATTTATTATTATCTTTTTGTGTATTTTTCTCTTGACAGGGAACTTGTATAATGGCATTTCCCCTCACCTTGTTAATTATCATGACAACTACCATCAGTATTTCAGGATTGTCCATTGCATATAGAACTTGTGCATCTTTGTTCCAACACCAGTAACTCAATACGTTGATGTTTTTTCCCTTCTGTTTCACTCTTAATAAACAAATGAACGTCGTTGAGACTTCGGCGATGAGTGAGAACACATAACATAGCTTGGTCTAACATTCAATAGAGTTATTGTGTATATAGAGGGTCCACACACACACTGCCACCCTTTCAGTTACTTTTGTGAGGCGCGAAGCTCTCTCAACTACCAATCTGCTCTGCGGGATTGGTTCAGTGCGGGTTATACAATCCGGAGGAAGAAAGAGAGAGAGAAAAAAAAGAGGGAGAAAAGAACAAAAAAAAAAAAAATGCACTTTGAACATATATGATCACTGAGTGAGAGCCACTGCAGGCACCGCCAAGAATGTTTAATCAAAATCAAATATTTTCTTCACGTCCACTTACATAGTCTTGTCACCACACGGCAGCATTTTACTCGTTAGGCAAATGCAACGACTAAGGAAAACAGAGAATGGAAAAATAGTATTATATATCTCAGGTGAGATTACACAGGTGCCTGGTTTTAGAATGTATTTTGAGGGCTTACCTAGAAAAAAGTGCTGTGCTTCGGTTGATCAATGAAAACGGCAAATAACTAAAAATCTGGAGAGCAAGTAAAAGATGTTGTTTTAATCGTACCCTTCAAGTGACAAGTTATAATTCCGTGGTTCGGTAGTAATGAACGTTGAAACTGGCTTTAATGAGGGGGCAAATTAGTTTGAATATGAAGTAAAGCGGTATTTACTACAGCTGTTATATTTTTTCGGGGATCATGAAAAGGGAAAACAAACATAAACTGTGTTTTAGAGGCGAGGGTCATCATACTTAAATAACGATGACATCTTTGAACCAGTTCCCTCCCCCCTCCCCTTTTCCACCTTCCGTTTATGAGAGAACGCGAGTGTAATGAAAATCAAGTTTAGTAAGATTTATCAATATAAAATTTCTAAGCTTAAGACGA